TGAGTCTGAATATTAGCAGCTCACAACAAATTGAGGATGTTTTTCATGCAGTACACCTTACACACACACACACACACACACACACACACACACACACACACACACACACACACACACACACACACACACACAAACAAACACAGCAGTAGAGCCCAACTGATACTGTTACTGAAATTTATGGGTTTAAAAATTGTCTCGGCCAGTCGTATTTTCTTTTAGCATGGACAAACAATCTTGACACAATACCTTAGATTTTTTTGCCGCGTTAACACGATGTGACAAAGATACGTATGCTGCCCGTTTTCCAATTGAAAAATCAACTTATCAATACTCTCTGATGGACAAACTATGTAACGGTGACAGTAAATTTGAAATTACCTCAATACCTGATATCATACTGATATCAACAACACAGCATGATATGTAATTTTCCTCAACTAAAGGCATATAATAAAGTATTGCCAATCATTAGCAGTGGGCCTTCTGCTCATCATATTTATTCTATGGCTGTATGGCTGAGGTTTGATCTGTAATAGTGTTACTGAATAATTAGGGGTGCAATAGATGTATAGCTCACTGCATAGGTCTGATTGGAATGATACATTTCTTTATGTAAGGTAATAAGAGGCCAGGGATTACTGTGGCACTAAAAACTGAATCAGTGGCCTACTGCCACTCAATGAATGTAACATATTTTGTGTTTCACTGCCCAGTGCACAGTGACCTGAGGAAGAAAAATATCATTTTAATAAACAAATCGAGCAATTCAAATCCAGAGAGTAGTGACGAGAGCTGCTCCTCTCCCCGATTTACTGGATTACATCACATCAAGTTTATGATGAAAAAGATGTGACACAATATGTCACAATGTGACTGTGGGAATACCCAGGATCATTTTTTTTGGAGCTAAGAGTCCATCTTCGATTCTTCAAACCAGTAACACTTCAAAAAGACAGCATGCAGACTATTGTAAACACAGAATCCAGCATTCATTCTCAATAAAACTAGTTCTTCTATCTGCACAAAGGACTACAGCCCAAGTTGACAGTTTCTTGTCCCTTGATTGAATAATAACTGCTTCACAAAGTATATACTGTATAGCTCGGGTGCTGCTGCTGCTGCTGCTGCTGCTGGGCTCATGTGTTTAAGAATGGATGTGCTGACTGTGAGAAGGAGGAGGAGGAGGAGGTGGGAGGAAGGAGGAGGAGACTCCGCTACTGTAGCAGTGCATCAGCAGAGGTGAGACCACAGCCACTACATCACAGTCTGCTGACTGGAGAGGTGGTGATGGAGCTGCTGTTAGAAATACACGCTTGACACTTTGCAAAGAACATCTCCATTTCCAAGTTGAGGTCGCGCATCGAGCTTCAAACCCATCTATAGTGAAGTGCTGTAAATAGTCACATGAGGAAAAAAAAAAACAGGTGATGCAGCCAAATCAGTGCAAATGCAGAGAGTGACAGTCTTTTTGATTCAAGCCTTTTTCTTTCAAGGCTCAAGGGCAGCTATGTCGGCCAACCTTATCCCCAGCTGCCTCGCATGCCGCCAGAGACAGACAAACCTACAATGGGCTACAGTATGTGTGTCATTAGTGCTGACCCAGATGCTCTGAAACACTGACTGTCCTGTGACTGCACTGCATTCCCAGAATAACTCCCCTACAGCTCATTACACACAATAATAACGTTTAATAACCCCTGTCATGGAAATACAACCCAAATTAATTGCCAAATTGCAGGACAAACAAAAAGGAAAAGGGAATTGAAGTTGAGATGAGAGACAAAGATAGATACGTGTACTTTATTGATCCCAAATTGTTGAAAGTTGAGGTTTAAATGGCTCATAATGAATCCAGCTGCAGAGGAGAAGCAGAGATTCTGTGCAGTGCAACCTGATCTGTGAGACAAAAAAGAGTTGACTTGCTTCAGGCTCAGGTGCAAAGATTAGTAGGTGAGAGAGAGAGAGAGAGAGAGAGAGAGAGAGAGAGAGAGAGAGAGTTACATCACATACAAGCAAACCCTGTGCAGTCCAGCAGCAACACCATCCCTCCTACAACATATCATGTCAGCGCTGGTCAGTGAGGGAATTAATCCTCAGTAATATCTGTTAGGACATACACTCTGCCTGCGCAAATTGCAATGCAAAACCAGCCGTGTGCACACATGTAGAGAGCTTATAGGTGATTCCTGTGCTGATGGACCACAGACAGCACAGTTTTTCCCTCACTAAAAAATGATTCAATAAGATATTAAGCCGACCACCGCTTCATCCATGCAGCATGTGAATCATGCACCCAGCAGCAATAAATGTGTGGATTAGCAAAACGCTGCCAGTGTGAAACAAAAGATCTCCCCCTTTTTTTCCACCCAACGCGTTCCTATTTTACTATTTACAATAGATGCCAGTCGTAGGCTACACTGTAGGTGTGACAGAGGTTAATGCAACAAATCAGCAAGTGTTTCAGATGCAGGCTACAGCAGCTCGGCGGTGTGCTTACCCTCTGCGGCCAAAGCGCACCGGACAAGAAGTGAAAGCATTCCCACAGACAGCAGGCAGTTTGCAAGCATCCCCGCTGCTCCGGCTCGCCACCCGCTCCTCAAACATCTCCCCTCTTCTCCGGCATCCGTCCTTTGCGGCGAGCACCCACCGGGGTCCGCTCCGCCGGCTCCCACCACTTTGGGGTGACCTGTCCGCCCACTCCTCAAACCGGGAGCCATATCCAGTGGATAAGTTGCTGAAGTTTCGGTCGTAAATAATACATTGGATCAATCCCTCGTGTGTGAGCGGAGAAAACACAACGCGTCCCGCGGTCTCGTCGTGTGTCCAGGGCTGGATGTTGAGGGGGGAGTGAGGGGGGGTGGGGGTTGCTGGGGGTGGGGGGGGAGCGGCAGTGAAGGGAAATTAAGAAATGCGCCCTATCGCTCCGCTCAGTTCGGTCCACCCATCATCACCGTACGTGTGTGGCGCAGGGCGACGCGCACACTTTTGCCAAAGCTTTGACATTTAGCTGTTGGTGGTAAACTGCCTCAGTCAACACCTGCCCCAGATGGATGGCAGACATTTAGACGAGCTCAGGTGACGTTTCAGTGACAAATGTAAGGATATACTGCTGCTAGTGGATGTTAAAAAAAGAAAAGAAAAAAAAAAGAAAACTGAAAGTCTTCCACCTCCCCTGGTCAATGTGAGCAATGCTGTTAATTGTCGGGAGAAAGTCAAAGCTGAGCGAGTGTGCAGGACGACCTCTGCTGGGTGTACAAGACATAACTGTATGGGAAGCAGATGAATTTTTCATAGACTTACCAGCCTTGTTCACTGACGCATTGTGAATTAATATTCAGAGGGGCATACGACTGTACAGCACGTTACCTCTACTAACAGGTATGTAGTGTCTATCCTGAGGGTTACAGTAATTACTACCGGAATATTCAATTGTGTGGATACAACTGTAATGTGTTGTACCTCGAAATCTCCACAAGATGTCACCCCAGACCCAGAAAATCACCGAGATGTGGGTTCACTTTGCAGATGGGGAGATTGAGACCCCCACTTTTACCATGTCAAAGGACCCCAAAGTGATGTTCACAGCCAGGCACACCCCCATTTAACTAAACCAAGATTTTATCATAGATAACCTCATTTGAAAATAATCTTGAAAATAATAATAATTATTTAGTAATCGTAATAATAATTTTACAGGAAGCCAGGGGGAATAGTCAACTGCTAACCCATATCATCCATTTGAGAAAAACAATCTCACCTCAAGGTCCACGGAGTTTTGCCGAGTCGTCATGCATATTGAAGATGTTCAAATTTCCATTTTTCTTGTCATGCTTGGAGCTGAAACACAGCCAATAAATCAACTGACAAGCAATCAATCCACAATTTTGTTAATTGATTTAAAATTTAAATGACTCAAGATGCACTGCAGTGTTTTTTGTTTGTTTTTGCACAATTGTTTTAATTATTAGAAATTAGAAATTAGATCTAATCTAGAAAACCAGAAATTTTTACCATTTTCTGCCATTTTAGACACTGAAAGATTAATCAAAAATTAACAGATTAAGCCAATGTGTCCCTTAATAGATTGTGAATATTTTTGACTCTTATGTGTATGTTTATGACCAAATAAAGTCAAACCAATAATGAAAATAATCATGACTTGCAGAGTTTCTCATGTTACTAAGAGATTGTTACTACATAGATGTTTCAGTCACTAGAGAATGAAGTGTACAAACTGCAATATTATCAGCAACAACAGGGGCAAGAAAAAGAAAAGAAAGGCGCCTGCATGAATGTGAGGGATGGAAGAGACCCAGTCAGAAAAAGCTGCATCAATAGATTTTTTTTTTAATTCAAAGTGAATCTTAACAATAATACACCATAAAGTCTTATTTTGACACTCACCAAAAGAGTCACCTGGAAAACCCGCTTAATGTGACAAAGTAGAGAAGGCTTGGTCACACCTAAATCACTGAGAACTAGAGAGGAAACACTATCGCAAACTGTAAAGAGACATCACATCCATAGAGTTAGTTTTCCCAGTCCTCATACTGTAAATATTGCACAGTGCAATTGCTACATGGCAAACTAGTGTAGCATAAAATTTAAAAAAAAAAAAAAAAAAAAAGCAAATGAAACAAAAATGAAAAAAAAACAAAGCCACAAAAAATCTACAGGTATTAAAACAGTAACAGTTCAGATTTCATAATCAAGTCTATTTGATGAGCAATCTAAACAGATGATTCCATAACTTGCAGTGTGAATTAACTCTGTAATTGATAGATGACCAGAAAACTGAAAATAAGAGCTTGAGTAAAACAAACCTCATCAAATCAAATCAAAGAGTAACACAGTAGCACATTGAGACTAATACAGACCCTGAATTAACATCTCTAAAAGGATAATATCGCAGCAAAGGATTTTTTTTTTCTGATATCAAAGTCATAACTTGAATAGTAATAATTTTACAAATGATTTTATCTGTTAAATGTTACATGAATCCTCAAAAAAAAAAAAAAAGAAAAAAAAAAAGTTATCCATAAACCAAAGTGTCAATTGTGTGAAAAATTAAAAACAGTTCTAAGATTTCTCTCCTCTTGCATCCATTCTTTTCCTAAACAAGTACTGGAGAGTTTATGCAGGCGCATTGCTGGTGAATACCTTTGGAGGAATCAAAACACAGATTACATTTCACATGCTTAGTATAGGGGAACTATTTCAAGCACTAATCTGCCAAGTTCATGCCTTGTCGTCATAAGCTTTCTTTCCCAAAATGATACTTGAGTATGATCAGTAAAGCATACAGGTAAGAAAAAAGCTATCAAAAAACATACAACCATATCAATGTCAGTGTTTAAATGTGGAGTATTGCACTCATGACTGACTGACTGCAGAGAAACCACAATAATCTCCTTGACAGAGCCGCTTCCATCCAGAACACATAATAAACATCCAGAAAGACTATTCCTGGACATACAGCACGGCTCCCCGGATTTTAAAAAGCCAGTGTTGTCAACCGTGCTCTGGTTACTCCCGCTCAGCCTTAACTTGCACGATGGAAAAGCTGCTCTGAGCAGACAGCTTCTAGGCAGACAAAGTGAAGCAACTTAGGTGTACATGCAAGGTCATGTAAAGCATGGAGATTATCTAAGAACACTTGGTGGTGCAATGACCGCACAATGTAAAGTATTGCATCTGCTGTTCAGCCAGAGTGACTATCCAAACATCGTTGAGTGTCATATCATTCAAAGAGTACATGTGTTTTATGTGTGTTTTATTGGTGTGTTATCACAGAGAGACTTTGGTGACGGTTATCTGTAACAAGAGGAGAACCACCACCGTGTACATGTCACTCTGTTGTGTCGTGTCTACAAGCTGATCAGAGGAGTACAAGTCCCTGGAATGACATTGTGATGAAGTCCTATTTTGTGTGTGTTTTGTGTGTGTGTGTGTGTGTGTGTGTGTGTGTGTGTGTGTGTGTGTGTTTTTTTTTTTAATTCTTAGTCTAGAGAGGCCGTTAAAGAACTGTCTACATGGTAACGGACTGTAATTGGACTCTATGCCTTCCTCCTCAAATAAGTGGTGAGGAATCACCATCTCGAATTCTCACTTTCTGAATCTCAAGGCACATACACAGTGCTGCTCACACTGTCTCAATTTCAGTAAGGAACAAGACAATGGCCACAGTTTTGCATTGACAAAACATTATTTTGATATGAGACACTCATAAAGGGGAGAGCGATCCGAACACAAGGCAGTTTAGAATAACAAATTGTGAAACTGATATTCTAGCCAGATATAACATTGAACAGATAAAAAAGTTGCAATAAATATTTGTTTAAATCAATTTAACAGTAAAACAAGTTGTAAAATGTTATTTCTGAACAGAAACATTGGGCTAAGTTTATTTTTGGACACACAGTCTAATCACCCAAACCCTTACAAGCCTAACTACCTGTATGAGTGCTTAGTGGCGAGTGTGTTTGTGTGTGACTGGTGAAAACATTACAGAAGCTTTTCAACAAACAATGGATTTTTTTTCTGGCATCTCACAGTGCTCCTGTAACACACTTAAGAGAACTGGTAGTATATTGTATACATACAATGAAAAAGTTAAATCAATCCTGCAAGCTACAGCTTTAGATGTGTACAAAACGTCAATATGAAAACATACAAAAAATTAAGTTACATCGATACATCATTTATATGCAGTGATGAGCCCAAAAGGTTAATAAGGATAAAATACTGATGCAAAAACACACACCCCGAGAAACAACAAATGCAACTAATATTCATCATCAGCAATACAGTAGTTACAATGACACTCCAAATATGAACGCAAAACACAAAAATCAAAACCACTTCTATTTCAGATAATTAGGGACCTATACAAAAATAGCAACGCTAGGTTTAAACTCAGAGAAATCACCTAATTTCACAGCTATTGAAGTGGCAATCATCATATAGCAGCTTATCTATGATACATTCAAGACAGAAATGATACGACTTATTAATTGCCCAATAAGCTAGACAAAACCTCGGCCGTTTTTAAATACAATTTTTTTTTTGTTTGTTTGTTTTAATTTAACCCCATTCTACAACTACAGTATAACTGAGGTCTATGCAAACAGAATAGCTACCTTGCTCAGGAAATGAATTACAGTCTTTGGTGCTGCACAAGCAACTTCATTTGAAAATTAAAGACAAAAAAATAACACATATAACTAGTAAAATGAACAGAAAAAATGCACACACAGCATATCTACATATATATATAGACTGGTGCTTCCATCATATATATATATGTATATATCCTCCCTGACGGAATGTATAAAATAAGCAGTTGACACCGATAAGCCTTAAGCCTTTAACAAATGGTATAATGTAAAGGGAAAAAGTTAACTTTGTCACACATGCATAAATGAGAGAATTGCACACAATTAACTCACACCTTATCAAGCATCTGTACTAAATAGTCTAGCTCTATAATATATGTCCATATATGTGTGTATATCAAATACTGCATGGTTTGCTCAGGCTTAGAAGATTCCATACCGTTAATTTGCATTTTTTCCTTACCTAATCAAAGCCATGCCCACCACACTTCTAAATATCTAAGAAACAAAGTGAAAACACTCAAAATGAAAATACAAAGACGAAAAAGAAAAATAATCAACGACTATTTAGATTGTATTGCAGTTTCATCAAACAGTACAAATACTGTTAGTAATAAGAGTTTCACTAAATAGAAAGTGATTATCAAATATTAAGCAATACTCAGTACTTGCACTTTGTACACTAGTTCATTCGGGATAGGGAGAACGAAAAAAAAAACAAAAAAAAACAAACATTTTAATGAAACAGCAAGCATTCGCAACAGCAAAGCATGCTGTTCTTCTTGAAAGAACAGAAAGGTTACTCACTACACACTGAAATATACACCGACTCCAAAAAATAAGCACCGCTATCCGCGATACATCACATCCATGCAGGCTATGCATGGACATATACACATGTGCATATATATATACTCACACATAGGATGCATCGACTGATTGGAATTTCAAGTGCTGCAGTCCAGTACATTAATATTCATGTATATAGTCATATATAAGTAGTAACATTAACAACCTCAAATATGTAAGGCACTATGGCTAGGGACAGTTATACAATGCAGCGAGTCTTGTGACACAAACAATAAGAGCAACGTCTATGCATCTTTCCGTTTACATTTTTGCTCATGCAAGACCACATGCAGCGTGAGGAACAACCCTATTTAAATCGGTTAATTGACTTGACATTGCTAACACCAAAAGACACCGAAAAGGTACAAATACTTCAAACGCAGTACAACATACACTGTGGACAACATGTGCATCTGTCAATCTAGAGCTAGAGACTGGGATGGCTTTACAAATATGGATGTGTCTTGCACACGCAAGAAGGCAATATAGAAAAATAGCTGGGATCAGGGGTGCAAAGTCTAACTATTCAACACCACCCCAATTATTTACCTGTTTTGAGGAGTATTCGTAGAAGATCCAATGCAAAGATATATCAAATGTGCAAAACACATTAAGTGTGAGTTTAACTACCCATTCATTCTTTCATTCAATCATTCATACATTATTTCCTTCTTAATTTTTGCCCTAATCAAACCATTGGAACTCTTATTTTAAAGCTTGAAGTTCAATTACACCCAAGTCTACATGATTCAAAAAATAGCTTGCTTTCTCTGTGGTTGTGCCATGGTTTTGGAAATGAAAACCATGTTGGTTTAAGATAGAATTCGCCCTGCTAACTTAGCCCTCAGGTGGTATGAAGGGTACCTGGGCAACCATGCTCAGATATAAGGGTACTGGTTTATTTTGGTAGGGCTGAGAGGGAAACTGGCGTAGGCGGGCGAGGCAATGTAGGAGTGCGGGGGAAAGAGGGGCTTGAATTGGCCCTGGGGGTGCAAGGTGGGGGAGGGCAGCAGTCGGGGGTTGATGCCCACTGTGACCTGATGCACGATGCCTGCCGGGTGGGAGATGCTGTAGGTGGGCTGGAGGACGGGGCGAGAGGCTCCAGGGGAAGCCAGGAGGTGGGCCACGGGTGCAGCGGTGACCAGAGGACCAGATGGGGGATAGGACAGTAAGGTGGGCTGGGAGTGCGGGTGGCCCCCAAGGTGGGGGTGGGGGCCCGTAGTGTGATTTGGGCTGCTGTGGGACAGGGTAAATGTGTGCCCATGCATGGTGGGAGGGATATAGGCTTGTGGTCTCCGGTGGGCAAAGTTGCCGTTCCATTCCTGATGGCAGGAACCGAAATGCTGCACCTAAAGGAGAGAAGAAGAATCTGACTGATCAGACTCAACCTTTGCATCAACACCAGAGTTAAACTTTACGAGCCACTAGATGCTGCTGTTTTCCATGTTTTTGCATGTCTATGTTGTGTCTCTAATCAGTCGGTAACAATCCTCATCCACCTCATCTTATATTTGCATGTATAACATTACAATATTCTATTCATTTGCATTGTGTTACTGGTACCAGTTTTACAGTAAAACACCTTCACCCTTGAACACAGTTGGAAATGTTTACCCACTGGGTAATTGTGAGCGTAGCTGCTAGATTTGTAAGCAACAAATGTGATGAATTAAGTTCCATTTACAGGGAAGTGTGCTCTTGGATGCTGCTCTGCTTGGACTTTGTGCTATAATTTACCAACTTCTTCACACTCCAGAAAAAAGGCACAGATGCAGGATACAATGACTTAACATGACCGTGTTTAAAATGTGACTTCTCACAAGCAGGGCCAATTGTGTTCAGTGAGTCACCCCATTCAAACCAGCATAACCTCTCTGCCAGTGACTAGACCTAGGTCGTGCATTAGGGGTAGAGTGCTTTTATCCCTACAATCTGTTTTCTTATGATGATCAAATATATATTTTTCCATCTTTAACTATCACAAAGTCTCTCCAGCCATACAAATGTTTTTATATATACACATTTGTAATTGTGTACTAAATGTGCTCACCTGCCCAAAGCCTATAGGCTGCGGTTGCTGGGGCTGGAATGCAGGGGTGATCTTCTGCGGCCTGTTGAGGAGGGGAGTGGAGTGGTGATGCTGTCGCCCAGGAATGCCTCGCCCTTTGGACGGGCATGAAGACTCTAAGACTGAGGTAGGAGATCACGTAAAGAGTGGCAAACAGAGAGATAGATAGAGATGGAGATGACATGTCAATGCAGACAATTTAGTGTCCAACTTCAACCACATTATAAATAACAGCCATAAACAGATGCAACCGGAGATCGGATCCAACCACAACCGCAGAAATGGCAACATTTGTGGCAGGAGGCTTTGCAGGCTTGTCAGTGACTTCAGCTGTGTTTGATCAGTCCCAAACCTTTAAACATAGTGGCATCTGTCCTCCGAATATGATCCAGATGATTATAAATAGAAATGTTTGGAAGATCTGGGAGGGGTTTGTAACTAAGCTTGTTCATAGAGCTTATAGTGGGGTCAGACCATCAGCTATAAATACACCCACTAGGACTAGAATGGCAAGCTGTGCCCTTTTATACAAGGTTTTAGATGCAATAGTTTCAGGGTTGGGGAGGGAGATGCCTTTGACATGAAAGGTGATATGACTATGATTTTTCTCAAAGGATTTTACTTCACTTTAAAAGACCTATAAATAGGGAAGTCTTACATGACGATGTTGCTGTAAAAGACAGCAATGTGCCACTGACCACACCTGTTATAAAGCCTACATACAGCATGCATAACTCCATTTTAACACCTGAAAGAAACATTCAAACATTTATTTGTCTACGATATCCAGAAAATGTTTGAAATTTTCTGACGGACATCTGTGTTTTGAATATTTTATTCAAGGCATTAAACATTTTGGGGCAATTACGCATGTCTTATGTAGCTTTACGAAGTGCACATCCACACACATACAGGGGCTCTCAGAGTCAGTCTGGAGCCAGAGTAAGGAGTGTTGACAGCAAACAAATATCCACTCCAGAGATCAGAGCAGATATGTCAGGGCAGGTCACCCATAATCACCTGTGAGAACCTCTGTGGCCTACTAAGACAGTGTAATCCCAGGCCATGTGACCTGTGGAGCAGACAGCAGCAGTGGTGACTGGATCTTTGAGCTAGCATGACCTACTCATGCACTCACTAGTCTTCTGAGTGGATAACACCATCAGATCAGACACATAGCAACTGAGAAAAGGTGTCATCTGCTTTATTCATACAACCATAGAGGTTTGATGGAATCTAGGTCTAATACTCTGCTGGCCACTGTCACTTCCAACTATTCTTAAACATATAACAAAGCTATAGGCCTAATGTCAACTCTAGTCAGTCTTAAATAAGGAACACAATAAATGCAGTTTTACCTGTGTTGCCAGGTGTTTCACTGACGGCAGGGTTGTTGATGTTGTTCTGCACCCTCATTGGTGGCACCACAACAGTACGAACTGTTGGCTTGCCAGGTTCAGTCTCCGGAGCAACGCATGCAACACGGGGCTCACAGTTCTGGTTGCTGTCAGCGATGTAGCGTCTCTCTGTGAAGGGACTGTTGCTATGGCCGGAGGCGTCTGAAGCAGGCGAGCTGTCCACTGTGTCACAACCACTCTCCTGTTCGTCGTCTGACATACTGCAAGAGGGCAACCAGTGAGGAGGGAAGTTACAGATCTCTTTTTGTTGTGGTGTAGCCACTAATGTAGAACCAAGCAACACATTTGCAGGAGCCACGTTTGAATCAACTGCATTAACCATACCTGTTGGGGTGTTTACAGGGTGAGGTGCTGGACTGGGCTGAGGCTGAAGAGCTGGTGCTGAGCGTGCTGTCTGGACTGCTGAGGGAACAGACTCTCTCCATGCTGACAGTGCTCTGACACGCCTCACAATCTGCACTACCCTTACATCTTCAAGCGGAAAGACAGAAAAATAAAAGCAACCGATTAGATGTTGGTATTTTAGAACCAAGTTAGAAATATGATTTGTAGAACATTAGTACTCACTCCCCCATCGTGTGTCTTTGTGCGCTCTCCTCCTCATCGCTGCTGATACTGATGACACTAACAGTTGGGCTGGCTAGGTCAGAGATCACCATGGCCTGCCGCTGCTCCTGTGAAACTGAAAGCTCCTCACAGTCTGGCTCCACTTTACAGCAGTTCACCTCATCATCCTCCTCCACGTGCCCTGTTCGTTGCTCCCCTCCAGCAGCGTGCCCTACCTCCGGGCATCTGGCTTTCTCCTCTGCTACCTCCACATTCTTTGCTGTATCAGCCATCTTTGGGGACTGGCATGCTAAATTTTGGATGTTCGTGTTTTGGGAGAAGTTGCTGCCCCTACAGAAGAAAATGTAGCACATTCAGAAAGGGGAAACACCTTTTAGGGCATATATGTGTGTCTTAACGGCATAGGGCAAAGCTCATGTATCATACCTGTTCACACAAGGCTTGGCTCTCTTGTTGGCAGTTGGCTGCGGCCACACCACATGTGCAATGCCTATGTTGATTGGCTGGTGGGTGGACATTGTCATTTGGTTGGTTAAGAATGGCTGAGGGTGTGCAATCATGGAGCTGTAATGGTTACCATGGGGACGCACTTTCCTGCATTAAGAAAACAGAACATTTCAAATTGAGCCAAAAGCCTTTAGCACCATTACTGACAAAATGGTCTCAGTCACTGGTCCCAAAGGACATGTATGAGTCATCGATCATTAACATTCAGGGGAGCAAGCACGCTGTATGCTGTATCAGAGCAGTACAACCATTCCCCAGGGTGGGCATAGCAAAGGTAGTAAAGCACTAATAAATAGTGTTTTATAAAATACTATATATTTAAACTATGAAGATACATATCATGACAGAACATTGTGCTGTAACCTCCTGAAAGAAACAAACAAATTGCTTACCCCCAGTCACCCAATCTCTGTGAGCCCGCCACAGTGTCAGATGCCAAAGTGGTTGGTGGTGGGGGCACTGATGTCACCTGCTGCCAAGTGGGCACCAAGATCTGCTGTGCACGGTTGGACCAGGCCTGTTGGGAGAAGAAAAGTAGTTAGATCTAATAACTGTCCCCTCAGAGATGCTTTCATCAGCTTCCATATCAAAATCAAATATGAACTTCATTAACACACATGCACACACATACAGAGTCTTTCTGTCAGTGTTTTCTTTTGTCATCCCAAGTGAGAAAAAATAAAAATCAAATCATAAATGAGTATTAAACAATACTCTCTGACCTCTACTGCCATCATACATATCCTTGCTAACCCCCTTACCTGTGTGATGACTCCAGGTCTGATTTGTATGGGCTGGATGGGGGGTGCTTGAGTGACCAGAGGCACAGAAGCCTCCATTCGAACAGAGTAGCCTGCTGGTTTAGCTGTGTTGGTGGGGATTCCTGCAGGGACAATGGACAGGAAAATATTTTACTTCAAGATATTTAGTCCGACCACCAGAAAGAATAATAAACAAGAGAAATAAAGATTTACACATCCTACCTTGAATGGTTGGGGGACATAGAATGAGTGCCTGCTGAAACGAATCGTTGCATCCAAACTGACCACTTCCTGTCTGCAGTGTTATCCCAGGGTGCATCACTGAGGGGGCTGATGGGGCTAACCCCTGAAAAATGACAAAGGGATATGACTGGACTATTCTGAGGTGTTCAATTGATCAACAATAAATTTAAAGAGCCAGTAGATGGCGACATTTATGTCAAGAACAGTCCGTTTTTCAGCCAGACAGAGCCCAAGAATCTGTCTTGTACTGAGAGATTAGTGGGTTCATCTAATTGAAGACATAACGCTGGCCTCTCATCCGAAAGATGGTGGCTCATTTGGCTCATCTGTGGATCACCATTGTAGCCTTTAACACATGGCTGATCAACTCCATAGGAAGTTCAAGGCACTGAATCAAAACGTATTGAAGGCCCACTTTCTTACTAACCAGCTCCCTTAAAAATGGAGTCACTATGATTAGAAGGATTTCAACAGGCCAAGGAAATTATTGAATGTATATTGATCACTATTTTCATCTCATTAAAGTGCTGCTTTTAAACTGTTGATATTGCATAGGATTAGACACCCTTTTAAATTAATACACAAATCTTGGGCTGATAAGTGTCTTTATGAGACCAATTTATCCAGGCTCACTAGGATTAGATGTTTTTTTAAAAGCTGAATAACTAAAAAGTTTGTCAAAGGCTATGTCCACACTACTACAGTTCAACTTACTCTTTGAGACAGGCCTAAGGAATAAACAAAGAACAGTTAAGCATGTGCCTCTGCTTCACCACTCACGCTGCTCTCGTGCCTGGCTATAATCACATTTATTGAATAACGAGAACTAGGCCTATATTGTTCTGCTACAGCTCCTGCATGTAGCCCAGCCCCCATACACATGATAGTAAACACAAAGCAGCCTTTCACAGGATAATACTAAAATCGCTGCAATGTTTTCCTCTGAAATCCCCCTGAACAAGAAAGATTTACCATTTACTATACTGCTCAATGGAAACAGAAATGATAGCTGTTTTATTGTGCAAGCATGTGCGTTCTTTCATAAGGTTTCAATTCTGAATAGGAATGAGAGAGCCTTCTGATATTATCCTTACATTTGTACTGATGGAAAGCATATGTAGTCACCATTGCATTGTATTAAAAGTAATGTGTCACAATTGGTCATCTTTTCATGTTTCATGCTCGGTATGGTGGCTTTTGAATAGACCAAGATGTTTTGCATTATAAAGATCTAATGCCAAAAAAGGGTCAGTTCCTTTTTTCTCCTCGGCAACAACTCTGATTTGCACTGTTGCCATGACCTCAGAAACATGACGTGATTTTGTTGCCATGACAGCAGTGCTAAGACGCAATAAGACAAGTCAGCATACACGAAAGCAATAAAGGCAAGGAAATTGTCTACATGATCAGCCTTCACAGGAGCAGATGAACTGAACAACACACTGCATGTCAATAACCTACACCATCTGTGATTATTCCATCATTCAGATATTCTGATATTTTTTTTCAATTTCCAGTTCAGGAAACAGAAAAATAAACGATGTAAAAATATATTTTTTGTTAGTTTGTTGGTTCCTTTGTTTTAAAATGGTTTAATTTCCCTGAGTTGATGATTATTGTGTGTAACTGTCATAAAACTCCCAGTGCACATTGATGGAAATGGCAATGATGATGTAAACACATCCTGAACAACTTACTTGAGCATGGACACCGGTCATCTTGCTGAAGGGATGGTTGATTGAGGCAGCAGCGGTTGTGGTCACAGGTCTGACAAAAGGACCTTTATTTCTGTTGGCCGCCTCATATGCACTGGGACGAGTCCAGCAAACATCCATGATGTGGAAACATGACTTAACACTATGAGCAGAAGAGACACATGGAGAGTTCAAGCCATGGAGGAAGGTCAAAATGACAAAATGTCGGAAAATCTGAGGCAAAGCAGACTCACTGGTTGCTATGGGGAAAGTCGAGCAGGTGTTGCATCGTCACAAAGGGGTGGCTGAGAGCTTCGGCAGGGGCGATCCTCTCCTCTGCATCAATCAACAACATCTTCTTCAGCAGGCCCACAAACTCCCGGCGGTCTGCCTTCTCCGCTAGCAAGTCACTACCTTCCAGATTCATCACCAAGTTCACCTGCAATACAATCATTTTACAGTTAAAACGTCTTGTCAAAATACCTGTTACAAAACAGTGTATGAATATCAAATGATTATTCTGAAACTTCCTAAGAATGATAAACCATTATTCATTATGAATAATGAATTCACAAGAATCTCCTCTGACTTACAAAAGTAAAGACCTTAGCAAGCATTGATGGCTGCCAGGGGAATTTCCACCTGTGGTATGTTTTTACAGAGAATAGTGAGTGAAACCTCAAACATCGTTTTTTTAATTTAGGTTTAGCATTTACCTGAAGGGAAGTTAAGCTTACAAGCACCCTATTCTTTCCCACTCAGATGTATATGTTCTTTTCTGTTCATACAGACTTCTTCCAGTAAAAACCTAGTAACCTACATCCTCTGAACTTTGATGTTGAACTTCCTGTTAAATACATTGTGGTCCAAGAAGTTGAACATACATGCGCTATGTCATCCAAACAGCTGAAGATGTACTTCCTTGCTTCCTTTGATTTCATTCCCGTCTCCGTCTCGTGCTCATCTGTTGACTACAGAAAAAAAGTGTTCAGTGAGGACACAAGAATTGAATTCAGTAAAGCAGTTGCCAGGTTGTTATGATTTTAATAGTTTAGGTTCATATAAACAAGTTCATTCACGTAGGAAACAGAGAAACTCATGCTCACTCACGCAGCCCTTTGCATTCTTTTATTGCAGGGCAATGTCTGTCGAAAGTGCTTTTAGTCCTGTGAATGTTTCAGTTTGTTTCAGGAAAGACATCAATGCTTCTTTATTAGGAACTGCAGTCTTTGTTTGACCTATGATTTTAATGTTTCAGTGAAGCAAAAAAGGGTGGAGTTTAGTTGTTCTGAATTAGTGGTAGTAAGCCAGTTTTTTTGCTGGACTGCGGTCCAGCCAAAAATTCTAAATCACTAGATTTAGAAACTTTTCAAACAAGACTAGGTATACACTTAGTATATGGCTGAACCATGTATGGATGCCAACCGTGGGCTTAGGGCTACACTTCCTGTTACAGGCAGTCACCTAGCCACCCTGGTTTCCCAGCTGCTCAAAGAAAGCAGGAAAGTAAATGTAAATATGATACAATGATGTCAGCTTTTTACAGCGGTTCCACAACAGTTTTCAACTACATCCTCAATTTCACACATTGACAATTCCAGCCATATACTAGGTTTTCACCTGATCTTGCTTTAAGTGTGTAAATACTGCTCACCTTTAGTCTCCATGCTGCATAAGGTGAGTCAGACTCTCTGCAAAAGAACCGTGCCGTCTTTGTCCCCGCATTTAATAAATGTTCTCCTGGCAAACCTTGTGTCTGAGAAATGTAGCGAATCTGTTGGACATAAGGAGGGAAGAGAAGGAGAAAAGAGAACATGAGGAGAAGAAGAAATACAACTAAATAGCTCATAAAAAAACTGCTAATAGCTACAGAAAAAGGCAATTCTCACTGGTTTAACGGTATAATACATAAAATTTCTATATTACTACTTTATATCAAATGAAAAACATTTATCTTAATTTCAAAATGTCATTTCAAAAACAAATGCTGTTTTTTTTTTCCACCGTTATTGGTAATTTCTTCATCACTGCAGCACTTTATTTTAACACACTCTTCTGTACTGATGGTAATTTACAAAGTCATTCACAGTGACATTACTCCCCCAGGTCCCTCAGCGTTAAAGTTACTGTGTGGAGATGTGTGCATGTACAGAGTAAGGACCGCTACAGACACCTTAAAGATGTCACATTCCTGACAAACGGCTAGACTCAAGACCTTATACTGAGTGTAGCTCGTGTTTATGATCTCTGAGAGGTGTCAGGGTCTTTTCATGTAAACCCAGATAACAACGTTCCTATGGTGTCAATGCTAAATGCTGTGCTTGGTAATGATGCTTGTCAGTCAGATGCTGCGGGGCAAGAATGTCGCACGCAGGTTTATGAGAAGAGACCAGTGAGAAGCCTGGCTGACGTCAATCACACCCAAGTGTAAAGGACAACAACCATTAGAGATTCAGCACTGCTCACAAGCAAAGAGAGAGAAAAGAGCCACACATTGGGAGAATGATGAGAATCATGAAGAAGTCACTGGACATATTCAAATGTAGCAGATAATAATTTAACATAATAATACTAAGGTCTATCTCTCCAATTTTTTTTTTCCCAAACACACAAATCTAGATGTAAAGGCACACAAACATTTATGTCCTCACCCCGTAATTTATTTATTTTTTATTCATATGACATGAACACCCTGCAGCTACAAATTTCCAAGAAAGAAGTGTTTCAGTAAATAAAAGGGAGAGGCTGAAAATGGATGACCAAGGGAAAAATGTGGAGTGAATAAATATGATTCATGTAGGAAAAAGAAACAAAAGTTTGCTGATGCAATCATGCTGAAATATCTTTCACTATAAATCAACATGGATCCTTTTTATTAGTTGCTTCCCCTATCATTTCATGATTGATAAAAAAAATTGTGGTATGCGGGGTTGGGGACGTGAACTTTTTTCAGCTTCTGAAGGGTGCATGCCAGAAAAAGGTTGAGAACCACTGCTCTAGACAATATGACGCCTGAGCACTAGCTTATATCGGTTTGTTGCTGAGGCGTTAATACTGCAGTGTCTGCGTGTGGGTGAGGCTTATGTTCATTTTAGTAGGCTATTGATGAGGTTATGATATACATTCACTGGGATGACGATTTTAACCTCATCTGTTTGCTGAGAGATTTAGAAGGGATGGTGGAGATCCCCTGGCTTATCTCAAGGCAGTACATGCTGATTTACGTCAAGCAAAGTCTCTCTCATTTTCTGTCTTGCATTCCATTTACTACGATTCATAAAGTTAACGCTGTTAATTCGAACAAACTTCACCCTGAAAGTCCACTGACTGAATTCTGCTTTCACGTCTGTAGTATAGCTGTACTGTAGTTCAGCAACATCATGTGAACAGTAAAAGACACAAAACAAAAAAACAAAGTTGATGTGTGTGGGTGGGAAAATTCTTGTGACGGGAAAACCCTTATTTTTCCTGGAAGGCGTGTCGCTGCAGAGATCTCACAAACCAGTGAGATCACTTGTACAAAGCAACGGATTCGCAAAACAACTATCTAGCGAGCCTGGGCCTGCTACAGAGCAGACAGGAAGCAAAGGCAGTCCAGATAACAATACACACTATGCAAGTTGTATTTCAATGCTATCCCTGACTGTAATAAATAAAGTACAGCTCAATTTAGAATAACATACCCACACCCTCCTACATATCCAGTGTACAAGGGATCTCCAGTTTGTACCAGCTCACAAACAGGAAAATTCCTTCTGGAGCCATGATGCTTTTAACTACCACTAACCCAAATCCTTTTTGCTTCCACTGACCCTGCCTACACCCTATTGCATTTGCAGATCCTCTAAGTTGCCAGCTAGGCCAAGCCCCAAAGAAAAAAAAAAAAAAAAGTCAGCAAGCACACACTACATTGGTCTCTGCAACAGCATGCATTGACCCCCATGGTTGCACCACTTTTACACTGCCTGAGGAAACAAGAGACAGAACATAAAGAGGGTTTAAAGAGATCAACAAAGCAGAAATATGGGGAATTGAATCATTCCCCTGACTACAGCACCTGGGCTAATCATATCCACTCATAATGAGATGCTCGCTGAATGGTGAGGTTGTCACATCAAAGAGGTGAGCAGCCTCCTGCTGTACTAGTGAAGTAAAAGAAGGTGTGAGTGGGGGATGAGGTAAGGAGAGGGGAGAGCAGGAGGAAGGGAGGAGGAAGAGCCTGAGTTATAAATACAATATGCTGTGTGAGATGGAACAAGACCCCATGCAGAAAGATAAGAAGAAGAAAAGGGGGAAGAAGGGGGTGGCAGGAGCCCAGTCAGCTCCAACCAGATCACCCTGTGCCCCCTGGATGACACCTCACACCAGCAGTCAGCTGCCTAGCTGTTTACTGACATACAGTCAGTTGGATATTTATTTAAGGCAATAGAAATTTACAAGCTTCCTATTTTCAAGTTCTGTTATATATACTGTATGTACTTATAACAGACCAATAGTACAGGGAGTGCCAATTTATGATTATCCATTTCTTCAACCTGAAACTCATTTTGTTTCACTTGCAGAAACCAATGAATGATGGTAAATATACTCAAACTAGAACAGTATAAAGCTAGAAAGTAAGACCCTAAACCTGCTGGCATTGATGCTAGACGCAAAAGGATTTCCATTTATATCAAAAAGATTTGGAGTAATTAACTAATTGTTATTTTTGAATCATCGACATGCTTGACTAGAATTGAAGGTGATTTGCTACTGCTAAATCATTTGACTTCTTAAAGCACTTTTATGTCATTTTACATCACATTTTTCTGTCACCATTAGAGCTGTGGGTGACTGTGAGAGAGGACTGAGAGAGACGTATGTGTTTATGTTCTTGGTCATATTGTATTTCTCTGAAATGCTTTAAAACTCCTAATGACTGATATGAATGAATGAATAGGAATATGTATGATATATTTGAAAGAATTTTAACTGTCTTTGTGTGTACAGTACTTTCCGTCATTATAAGATCTAAGCCCCCAAAAAGCACAAGAAACCAAAATGAAAGTCATGATTTTTCTTTTCATCAGTGTTCCTGCACTGGCTGGTTTTCCTATTCACTAGGCAATTCCATGACCGAATGGAAAACCTTTGAGTCAGTGGGGAGACTTGACAAAGAAAGCAGAGTTTATAAGAACTCTAGTCAAAAATCATAGCGATTTTGTAAATGTGCCAAGCCGTGGGGACTATAATAAGGATACCCCACGATGTGTGATGTGCAATTCAGCCTTAATACACAACCATTCTGCTAAAACAGGAGAGGGTAACATGATAGATCTAGTAAGCTGAAATCTTAAAGCGATTTAACTTTTGATTACTCTCCGTGAATTACTCAAGCCCTCTGCCACCATCTTCTGCTAGTGTTTACACTGTATTTAGATTCAAATTCAGTCCCCCATTTACATATAGTAGGCCTTGGTTTCCATCTGATAAATACTCTGTACTACATTCCACAGGTTGCTTCTCAATTCCTATCTTGCTTTTTATTTCACTGTCTCTCACAGTGCCCGTCTATGCTAACTTTATCTTATCTGCCCCCCCCCCACCCCCCATCAGCTCCAAGCAGTCCCTTACTAAATTGAGGAGGCTCCCCCCAGATATCTCTAAAGCTGCTTTGCGACATGCTGACTGGCTCCTGCAAAAACAGATTCATCATTTTTAGACTGGTGTGCTGCTGCGCACAAGTCAAATCTCTTTCGGAGGTGTTGAGTTATCTCTCCTGTCTTTGGCCTGGTGAAAATGAAAAATGATACCAGACCATAAAAATACTTTGGTATGAGTGCAGTGTGCAGTGGGGCTCAGTGTCGTAATATAGGGTACTGCATAGGACAGAGCAGGATCTGATTGAGGCTCTTTTGGCAGGCTTTGAGTAGATAGGGCTCCAGGGCAAGGGAAAGCCGCTCAACATAAGCCCAGATCAGTCTAGTCCTGGGAAGACACTGTCAGGGCTCCACTGGGAGGAGCAGGCATCCACCAGTTCTTAACAGACATACCATCAATCACAAGAACATGCCTTTCTGCCACAGACGCCAGCTGATACAGTCCTCAGGGTAGGTATGTCACCAAGGAACCAGTAAATTTGCACTAATTTGTTACTGTAAGTCACTTGAGCCCTCTGTCTCTTTCTTCATTCAAACAATCTGTGCAATTACGAATAAATGTTTTTCTTTCCCTAAACCTCAAAAGTTTCCTATTCCTATCCATGCTGTCTTCGCACAGAAAATCCCTTCATTACCCTTACGATGGCATTAGGACTGGATCTCACACAGATTACAAAAACAGATTTTTCCAACTGTACACACAGTGGTAATATTGCATTCTTGCCCTACCTTCAAGCCATCTGGCCTAAACTCTGCTGGTAAATGTTCCTACTGTCTTTTTAAGCCTTTGTCAGCTTCTCTTTCCAACTGACTCTTTGCAACACTTATTTTGGGAGATTTAGACTGAAGTCGCCATGGATCACATATCCTGCAAACTCTCTCCTCAGTGGGTTGCCTTGATTGGAAAGAATAGAGAGTAATGGGGAAAAAAAGTAGAAAAGAGAAGAGAAACAAAGGAGAGAGACAAGAGACCAGAAAAATAACAGACTGGGTGGAAACAGAGGGTGTAGCACTGCCTTCATAGCCACATGGGCAAGGGGGATGACCTATGAGAGAATAGAGGCAAAGCCCACTGTAAAATGGATGCAGAGATAACTGAGTCATGGAGGGTGAAGTAAAACTGGGAGATGCTAGGATGAGTTGCATGAAAACCTGAAAGGAAAGGATAGCATGAGGTGCACAAGGAGGATGGAGAAGCAGGAAGTCCTGTGAGGAGATGGTTATTTACCTGGTCGTACTCCAGGGCCCCAGGGTAAAGGGGCCAGCCCAGAAAAAGTTCAGCTATCACACAGCCTAGGGACCACATGTCTATGGCTTCACAAAACGGCAATCCCAAAATAATCTCTGGAGCCCTGTGGAGCAGACAAAACACACAACTGTTAGACTGCAGTAACAACAATAACATCTCATGTGAAAGTATTTAAATGTGTGGTAGGTCTGTAGGAAAAAAACAATCCATATAAAAGTTGTCAGATAAATGTTTTTGTTCCATCTTTGAAATCTTCTGTAAAAGTTTAATACAGACTTTAGAAACAAGTAGATTAGAAAGAAGACAAATAGATTCAAACTCCCATTCAACAAAATTTCCTGCTTTGTAAGATGATGTCTTAAGCAAATATAATATTATTAGTAATGTCATGGAATTCCTGATGATGGTCAGTCAGATGAGATTGTGTGGTACATGTGTAAGCCAAGTGACTTGTAAGCCAGTGTTGCGCGTGTACTAGTCGCCAAGCGTCAGCAGGCTGAGCCAGTGGGTTAGCAGGTCAGCCAGGCTGGGATCAGCGCTTTGATAGGCTGTTGAATCTGCTCTAGGCTGATAGGGAATAAGAAGCATAGTCACTACTTCTTCGCCTACATGCTGGCTCAGTGTTACATTGAGCAACTCTATAATAGCACTGTAATACCATGTCACAGGAATGGCTAGTGGTGACGCAGGCCTGTCAGCTCCAATATAGGTAAGACGTGTCTGTCTGACATGGCTGTCAAGATCTCTCTGTTTAGGACACAGCACAAAGCCTATAAACAGTGACAGTGCACTGAAAGCATGAAGTAGCCAGAGCTCTTTTGTTGGATACAAGTCTTTTTGTGCAAGAGTGGCCTCAAAGCTCATTAAAATCAATGAGTGAGCAGTGTCAGTTATTGCACACAGACAACAGTACATACCTGTGGGACAAGTCAGAACTCTGCCTATGGACAATCAGGTCTACTTTCACATATGCACTGCGACCGTGAATTTTTCAAGACATTACCCAGAGGAGCTGTATGTGTGAACGCAAATGTCCAAATCAGTTGACCTGGACATTAAACAGACTTTACCCTGCCATCTTCCCTGTATAATGTCTTTGTAATGTCCGATTGTGGCCACACATGAAAAGAGCGGGTCGTTGAGCTGCAAGTGAGCATGTTGATGATGGTTCTATTCAACGGGCTTGTCTACCTCCCGCATCCTCTACACATGTGCCACCTCTCATCTAAACCAAACACAGTATTTCTACTAAGTGTGAACACGTCTCACACGAGCAAATCTCCTGTTGTGTCCTACATGTGTGAAAGGGCAACTCTGGAAAATGGCTGAACCCGAATCTCCAGACATTGTCCAGAGTTCATATGTGACAACAGCTCTACTAAAAGTTTTTTTACATCACTTGTTTTATGCAAAAATTAATTAATAATTCGATATTGTTTATAATCTGTATGAGTCTATCAATAGAGAGAACCGAAAATGATAGATATACTTTTCACTTCCGTTCAGCATATACACAAGATAAACCCTCAAACTATTTCAGTTGCTGTCACAAAGCTGGGCATACTTATGAAGGCAATCCTTTCATACCCCTTACATGCATTTTAATACTGAATGTATGTAAAGAGATCTGTCAGACAACTACTCTATGACGTCTTTGGAGCCATATGGGACTGACTGGTGAGGGACAGAAGCTACATATGGATAGCAACAGCAAGCCTAAGACCTGCTAAAATAAGTTTTCGACAATTTTATCACATGGTCAAAACAAATGCACGCAACAGCTGGTGCAATAGGCAACATAGCAGCAGAGAACCAACCAGGCAGTTATGCTAACCATTTGAGCCTCACAGGCATGTCCTATTTATAAGGAACAGGTTTTCCCTGGAGGAATGAGGAGAGAGAGTGAAGACGCATATCAACACATCCTTGCATTCATCAGGATACAAGGCGGATACAGGGATTTTCTATAAGGCTGAAAAATACAACTTGAGCATCACTACAAGCCATCATGCAGTTGGTCAAGTAGTTAGAGGCTACGATGTAACCAAAAACTGACACTCTTACCCCCAGCTCCTATTTATTTATGACACCCTACTTGCTCAATCAAATCAATTAAAGATACACTGAATTAGATCTTATATTCCAGGTCTCAAAAGCCTAATTTTATGAACAATGCTTCCTTCATTCTTAGGTCACAATAAGCCTACTAATAAGACCATGATGCCCTGAGCTGTCTCCAAAATCTTGCAGCCTGGAAGAATACATCAACCAAAATAACAATGCCAATGAAAACAGGTGGCTTAGGTAGAGTAGACTGAGTACATGTTTCCATGGTTGCACGGCTCTGTCCTAATCAACGCAACTCAAGCCTCACCGCCCTCCTGTGAAACCAAATCTGTTTTCCATCCTGAGGATATGACGTACACTCTGAGGGGCCATCGAATGCTAGAGGACTGACTGTTCACTGACACGTGCAAGAGCTCCAGAGGAAACAGACAGGTACAACAAAAACATGAGCAAGGTGATTGACTGGTGCCCTTCAAACATAAGACTCCCACTCCCTGTGACATTTAACAGGAATGAGTGGGTATAGACAATGAATGAATGGTAGCTTTTCAATAAATTGAATAATAAAATAATGGTAAAGTTTAACACACAGACAAAACTGCAATTACCATATGCAATAACCTAATGCCTCATCACTGCACTTAAACAGGCAGTGACTCATTCAAAACCAACTTAACTTTTACATTATATACAGATACACAATACCCCACTATGTAGCAAAAGTAATAGCAAGTGGTACATACTGTACATGAAAAACAATAATATTGCATTTTTGATGAGATGGATTGATTTCTGAACATGATGGATGTTTACCTGAGCATCTTTGCACGCTAAATATCAGGTTTCTTAGACTTCCGTCTCAAATTTATGATGATATTTAAGAGCAATCAGCAATCAACAACAACAACAACAACAACAACAACAACTAGGGATGCATCAGTGCAACATCAGTACTTTTACCATCCATTAAATGTTTGTAATGCTTTAATGTGCTACAAATATATCTTTGTACAAAGGCTGAACATGTTCTCCCTCTGTCACAAGGCAAAAGAGTGCACGCCTTGTCTGTTGACTGATAGCACTCCACTGTGCAAAGGTTGGAAGTGAATGACTATGAGTGAGACATGAGTTGTCTACAATATCACTGCGTTCAAAGGTTTCTATAGAGCCTCATTTGTTATCGGTGAAAAACACCTTCAGAGGCAGCAGAGGGGAAAAAAGACACATCTTCAAAGAGCTTTCTGCGCCTGCGAGCATCGTTGTCAGAAGCTTTTTTTCAAAACATTCCCCACTCCACAGCTCACGTCTAGAGTTTTAACCTTTCTATACCATAACATTTTAGAGATGCTCATTAAGTTGAAAATAGTTAAAAGAATCCTGTGAATATGCTTTTCAACAGCTTGTGCTTTTTCTTAATTTAAGAGAGATTTAGACTGACACAATACAACATCTAACATTTGGTTTTGGTGAGGGCACTACAGAACAAGGTCTGACAGAGAATAACAAACTCTGCATTGGCTGCTGGCTTGTCTTTAATGGAACAATCAGTAACAAACCCTATTGCACAATGCTGAGCACATCAGTATAGCAAGCCCAGCACACGCACACCACTGTGCCAAGTATAACTCGCTCACACTGCAGGTATGGTATTGAGCAACAATCACAAAATAAAACCCAAACAGGCAGAAGCAATGGTAAGATTTGGTTGCCTTTTTTCTCTTCACAGCCTGAAGCTTCCACTAAAATTTTACTGCTCCTTTGTGGATAGGCTCTGACCAATCAAAGCACATGTTTCCCTGGTCAACAAGTTCAACAGTTTGTTCCTTCGTCTCAAACAGCTGCTTCCCTTCTTCCATCCATCTCCTCTTTTCTTCCCTCTCTGTTTGTTTGTCTCTCACCCACAAAGAGGCTGAGACATAAGGCGATGTTATGTTAGCAGAACCAACACAAAGATGATGTATGGCAAGATTCCAAAGCACAACGCTAAACTGAACTGTTGTGGTTCATAAAGACTCGGAAATAAGTTGTGTACTCTATCCTGAGAACTTATATCAGGGCATTGATAGAGATTCAAACTTTTAGCAGCATGGCTAACTGTGCTCTTTGCTTCCAGTATGTGCGTAAGCTAAACATACCCCAGACATATCTCCAAATTGTAGTCTGTACTGCACAGACACAAAAAAGATTAATATCATAATCTTTTGTCTGTGGGTAAGATAGCAAACATACATTTACCAAAATGTCAGTGTTCCTTTGATATGCAGGTCTGCTAAGTGTTTTTTTTGTTTTTTACTTTTATCATATTTTTATCACACCTGAAAAAAAAAAAAAACAGTGCAGACACACATATTATTTGCGAGAAGGGGCATGGCAGAGCAGAGAAATTATCCATCTCTATTTCTTATTCATGGCCATTATCTCACACTCCAAAAATAGCCCTCTGATCCTCCTTGCTCTGTCATCACAGGGAGGAACCAAGCGTAAAGTGGCATCAAACCAGCTCACACAGGGAACAGCAAATAAGAGTGGCTACACATTGGGAGGGAGGGGGCTCATTGTCGTTGCATGCTTACACGGGCCTTTCAGTAAGCTTCTCCTGGTAAATAAACTCAGTTGGGCTGTACTGCAGTTGGCCTAAGCTCAGCCACAAAGACAAACTGACAACATGGTGACTCCATGATGGAAGAATGGAGCGTCACTGCATGTCTCTTCCAGGAAATGTAATTCCACATACTCTCAGAGCATCCTGCATTATTCAGTGGAACACAAAGGCTGTGTAGCAAAGGCAGAGGTAGTAGCACTTGCACTCTGATCTGGCCCGATCTTAGATTAAGGATACAAGGCTTTAGACACGTTTTATAGATATAAACCACTCAATGTGCTGATGCAGAGCCAGAAATGAAAAACAAAAAGCAGTGTTTCCAGTTCAGGTGGACTAAGTTTCTTCTCTGCTGTTTTACTGTTTGAATTATGTTTGAAGTATTTTGAAATAATTTGCTGAAACTGCTTCTGAGCTCTGGTCCATGAACATGATTT